TTGTCTTTATTGTTGAAATTATTACAGATGTCCCCTTTTTCCCCCTATTGATCCCCTCTACCCCACATCTACCCCACTTCCAGGCCTTCCCCATAACAATGTCTGTGTCCATGGATTATGCCTGTAGACATATAAGTTCTTTGATTAATCTCTCTCCACCCACTCCCCCCCCACCTTTCCTGTGAGATCGTTGTCCATTCTATGCTTCTGTGTCTCTGAATCTATTTTGTTCATCACATTCCACATATGAGTGAGATCATGTAGTACTTGTCTTTCTCTGACTGATTTATTTCGCTAAGCATAATACTCTCCAGCTCCCTCCATGCTATCCCAAAGGATAAGTGATCCTTCTTTTTTACAGCTGCATAGTATTCTGTGGTGTAAATGTACCACAGCTTTTTTATCCACTCACCTACTGATGTGCACTTGAGAAGAATGTATATTCTGCAGTTTTGGGGTGGAATGTTCTGTAAATGTCAATTAAATTCATCTGATCTAGTATGTCATTTAGGGTCACTGTTTCCTTGTTGATTTTATGTCTGGAAGACCTATCCAGTGAAATCAGTGGGGTGTTAAAGTCCCCTAGTGTGACTGTCTTGCTATCGATCTCTCCCTTAAAGTCCTCTAGAAGTTTTGTTTTTTAATTTATGTGCTCCTATATTGGGTGCATGTATGTTCATCAGGGTTATATCCTCTAGTAGGATTGATTCCTTTATTATTATGTAGTGACCTTTCCTGTCTCTCGTTATGGTCTTCAGTTTGAAGTCTATTTTGTCTGATATGAGTATTGCTACCCCAGGTTTTTAAAAAAATTTCCATTTGCGTGGAAAAAAATTTTCCATCCCTTCATTCTCATCCTGTGTGAGTCTTTTGTTTTGAGTTAGGTCTTTTGTAGACAGTATATATTTGGGTCATGTTTTCTTATCTATTCAGCCACCCTGTGTCTTGTTATTGGAGCATTTAATCCATTTATATTTAAGGTTATTATTGATAGATACTTATCCATTGCCATTTTAATTCTTTATGCCTATGCTTCTCTTTCTTTCTATTTCTACTTCTAATTACAGCAATTCCTTTAACATTTCCTGCAGTGCTGGTTTGGTGGTGATAAACTCCTTTAGCCATTTTTTTGGTCTGGGAAGCTCTGTATTTCACCATCTATCTTGAATGATAGTCTTGCTGGATAGAGTAGTCTTGGTTTCAGATCCTTGTTTTGCATTACATTGAATACTTTATGCCATTCCCTTCTGGCCTGTAGAGTTTCTGATGAGAAGTCAGCTGACAGCCTTATGGGAGCTTCTTTGTAGGTAACAGATTGCTTTTCTCTAGCTGCCTTTAATATTGCCTATTTGTCTTGAATTCTTGGCATTTTAATTATGATGTGTCTGGGCATGGGCCTCTTTGGATTCTTCTTGCTTGGGACTCTCTATGCCTCCTGAACTTATGTGACTTTTTCCTTCACCAGGTTAGGGAAGTTATCTGCCATTATTTCTTCAAACGGGTTCTCTAACCCCTGCTTACTTTTGACCTCTTCTGGAATTCCTATAATGCAAATATTGTTACATTTCATGTTGTCCCACAACTGCCTTAGACTGTCCTCCTGTTTTTTAATTGATTTTTTCTTTTTGGATCTCTGATTGAGTGATTTTTTTCTACCCCATATTCTAATTTGCTGATCCAATCCTCGCCTTCCTCTAATCTGCTGTTTATTCCTTCCAATGTATTCTTTATTTCTTCTGTGTCATTCTTCATTTCTTTAATAGTTTCCATATTTTTCATGCTGTTGAGCATCCTTACAATCAGTATTCTGAACTCTATATCTGTTAGATTGTTTATCTCCTTTTAATGTAGTTCTTTTTCTGGAGACTTCTCTTCTTTTATTGGAGCTTGTTTTTTTGTCTCCCCATTTTAGCTGCCTGTTTGGGTTTGTTTCTATGTATTAGGTAGATCTGCTAGAACTCTCAGTCTTTTTGGAGGGTCTCTGGTGCAGGCCAATGTCAGATGCAGTTTGTGACTTGAGTACCCTGTTTGGAGCTATCAACAACCCTTGGCTTGAGATCTCTTCTGCTGGGGCTGGGTGTGTTTGGACAGAACCAAGATGCACACCAAAATCTGCTTTTCCAAGGCCCAGGTCCAGAAGCAGATCAGGCAAAGACTCAAAGCACTCTGAAGTCTTCCTCTGGCTGCAGGCTGATTAATTCAGTTCTCTTAATGATCCTCAGGCTGCAGAAACTCTACAAGGTGGGGAAGCTGGTTTTTATCAGTCTCTTAATAAACCTCAGGCTGTAGAAGCTCCATAGTGTAGGATGAGAGGTTTTCCAGAAGGGTGGGGCAATTGCCTCCCCCTCAGGCAAAAGCTGCTTGGAAGGTAGATGTCTGCTTTTAAAGTATGGAGGAATGACTTGGCACAGGAATCCAGAGGGGTGCCCTCTGAGCACAGCTCCAGTCCACCCCACCCTCCCTCTGCTGGAGCCCAAGGTGAGTGGCTGCACACGAAACTTTGTGTGTTGGCTCTTTGAGAGGGTGCCTGCATTTTCAGCCACCTCTCCCTGGCCAACAGAAACCCGGCTACTTTTCAAAGCCAGATATTATGTGGGCACCTTTCTCAGTTCTGGTGCTCTTGGCTGGGAAAACCAGCCTGGGGTTTAGGCCCCAGAGTCCTCAGTGGGAACCTCCCACAGCTGAGATATCCCTCTAGACCTTTAGCTGCTGCTTGTGGGAGCCCAGCCAGCCCTCTCTTGCCTCTGCACTTCCTACCAGTCTCTGTGTGGTCTCCACTCTTCCTCCTTGGTTATGAGGGTACTCTCCAGCTAGCCTTCATTTGTGGTTGATTATTCAGGATGTTTTTCTCTTTTTTTGTTGTAATTCCAGTTTAGTCCCAGGAGTGTCAGTGTAGCTTCCACTCAAGTCTGCCACCATCTTTAATCCTTGGACAGTTCTCTTAACTAGCCCTTCCTCTCCCATTTGTCATCCCCTCCCTCTGTTACAGTAAAAACTGTTGTATTAAATCAAGTCTGCACAGTATTATGCTTCATGTATAGTTTTATTTCAGTGGAATTACTGATATCATATAGTAAGCATTTCATTGGTTAGCTTAAAAAATCATTAGTAAAACCAAAGCTAAAAAAACTCATTAAAACAATATTATATACCCATATAAAGCACTTTTAGACTTTTAAAAAAAAATCTCTCAAACCAGTTAGTTTGTGATCATTTTTGGTATTCTTCAGCAGTCCTTAATACAATGTTGACATTAAGAAGCAAGCGAGAATAGTTGTCATCCGATTCTTAGAATGTACTTTTAAACATGGGGGGCTCAAGATGGGGAAATAGTAGACCTTTCCTTATATAGAGAAATACCAGGAATAAGGGTGATTCCCAGTATCAAAAACCAGAATCCTTTTCTAAAGCATAGTCCTATAGAATTTGGTGATCTAGCACCTTTGGAATCATGGTTCTTCCAGGAGTCAATAAAATATTCTGTCAACAGCAATTTAGCCATTGGGGTGGGGTAAAATCTCATATATATAGATTTGTCTAAATATCTTTACCTATTGCGGAATACCTCAATTGAATATGTAGAAATTTCTTCGTTTTACTTTACTAATCTTTGTTAGGCTGAAAGTTTTAGTTTTTCTTCTTTTATATAAATTAATAATAGCAATTCCCATATTTCCAGGGAAACATCTATTCCAAGCTAGGCTTCCTACCATATTTGCTTGCAGACTTACATCTGTTAGAGAGTGAATAGTTATTTTTCTTTTGTACTTTTTATCCATTTAAAATTCTGTACAAACCATAACAGAAGTTAAATTCTCCTTAAATATTTTTGTTTTACAAAAAAATAGAATGGCTTTATAGAAAACATATAGAGCTTAAAGTAAGAAGAATTGGGTTTTCTCCTTGAGCAGTTTATCAACATGTGCTTGGGAAATTGTTTTAACCTAACTTTTCTTGATGGTGAATTTGAAACCAATGACAATTCCTTTTGCATTTATTTCGTGGGTTTTTTTTGCAGGTATCAAATGATATGTTTGTAAAAGTATTTGGTAAACCATGAACTATTCAAAATTGATGGTGAAATTATGAACATATTAAAATCTTTTTCAGCCTTTAAAAACTCATCATTACAGAAAAAAACAAGCAAGACAGATTTCTTTTACTAAATGGATAAGATGTTATAACTTAGTGTTCATTGTCTATATGTAATATAAATAGATGTAACAATTTAAGGATCCCTGGTTACCGAACATAAACTAGCTTTTACATAGTACTTTTTAAGAAGTAAATTCATTATCTTACATTCTTTTGTGGAAAAATACCTAAGGCCCACATTATGACTTTTTTTCTAAATATTTAAGTATTTTAAAATAAAATTGTACTTTATAAACCAACATTAGTCAAAACAGAAGGCTTTATAAAAATTAGCAAAAATAGTCATATTCACATTTTGTCCAAGAGATAATGATAACTTTGTTTTTCATATACATCCACTTAGGTAGCCCATCTGCCCTATTAGTATTGCAGTTTTGAAGGTTAGTATAAATTACTAATAATCACACCTTCCTATTTCTTAATTTAGGTAATAGCCTTTGGACTTACAGAAAAACAATGCATGTTTGTGTTTGTTCTATGTATAGAACAATAGTCCACATCGTTTTGAAACTATACCAGTATAAATGATTGTGAATTTGCCACCTTTCAGATTACATTTGTATTGCTTCACTATTGGGGGGAAATGCTAGGCAGTTTAGGCCCATTGAGAGTCACTTTGGAGATTCTTTTCAAGAGAAGTGGAAACACTTAAGAGGTTTTTTGTTTTGTTATGGTGATTTTCCCCCCTCCTAAATATCTGTAAGAGTTGGGTGACCCAACTGTTCTTATTTTGACAAACTACATACAATTTAATTCCTTCTGTTTTAGTTTGGGCTCTAAGTGATTTCTCTAGGTGAAACTTGTCAGTTTTTAATATTTATATATTCACCCATTTCATTTTTCAGGAGATTTTATGAAGATGGAGCAATTGTCTTGGGTGAGGAAGCAAATATGCTTGCTGGCATGCTGCTCGGGCTCAATGCTATTGATTTCAGGTACTTAATCCTTACTAAATGTATTCTGTTTTTAAATTATTCTACCTTATAATAGTTTCTACTTATGATTTTTTTTCAATTTTCTAAGAAAAGCACACAGTTGAATATTGATATTTGATTCATGTTGTACCCTTTCAAATGACATCTGTTTTCTAAATCCATTTGCTCTCAAAGGTTGTCTCAAACTTAAGGAATTAACTTATAGGCTTGCTGTCTAATTTGAGTATAAAGAAAGCTTAGACTGCATTCCCTGAGTAGAAAAATCATGTACACTGGTACAACCAAAGGAAGGTTTTGGATTTTTTCTCTTAGTATTTTTCAGCTACTGCTTTAAAAAGGAAAGAAATACACTAAAAGTCCATTCAAAGCCAAAAAGATTTTCATTATCTCATGTCTTGAGTGAGATAAAGATCCTGACAGGATCTCTTGGGTGTCTGATGTTTCTTGTGTTATGTGTCTAGAATATAAAACATATTGTTAATATTTACTTTTGTTATCAACAAAATGAATTGATTCCAGACTAAGATTATAAGTACTAAAAATGTACATTATCATTTCTTTTTAAATTTATGAAAGTATCTTTTGCATTTAACTTATCTAAGATTTTACATTATACTGTAAAAGTAAAAAGTTTATTTCTAACAAGAACTCAAGCATAAGAATGAAGGAAATAGTATGTTTTTATTTAAATATCTCACTTAAAATCTAAGAATATTATTAAAATAAGTATAATTTAAATGAAAACTACTTTTAGGTCTTGAATTAAAAAATAATGCCTATTTTCACTGAGGTTACCTTTTTCTAGTAAATAACTTCCTTTTCAAAATATTTTGTCCTTTTATAGTTTTATTTAGTATTTAATAAAGGAGTATTAGGTTAATTAACTTAATTGTTTAGGATGAACATGATAGATGGAACATGAAGGTTGTTTTTATGATCCCTCTAAGAGTGTTAACGTTTTACATGGCATGCTGATGGCTTTGTCTAAATCCTTTACAATTTTATTTTTTATTAAAAAAAAATCCTAGGAGAAGAATGTGAACTATAAATTTATTATAACCAATTGATAGTATATAATCAGCTGAAAACAAATGTCTTAAAGATGCATTAGTAATGTTTTTGTAAATGAAGGAAAGCCCGTATAAAATGTTGCCAATTTGATTCTCTATTCAAGTCTGGAAAAAATACATACCCTTGATATTAACATATTAGAACAAGTATTTCCACAGGCAAACTTCCCAAAGAAACCAGGAGGGAGAGGTTCATAAATAAATTTTTTGAAAGATTAATCTACATCTTTTAAATATTCCTTTGTTTATCTTCCTGGAAGATATATTTTTTCCTTTTAGTAATAGTAATCATTGGTTTCTTTTAAAAATTTAAATGTTTATTTTTATTCAAAAAATTCTTTTTGAAATTTAAAATTACGGTCTACATTCAATATTATTTTGTATTCATTTCAGTTGTACAGCAGAATGGTTAGACAGTCATGTACTTTACGAAGTGTTGCCCCTAATATTTCCAGTTCCCAACTGGCACCATGCATAGTTATTATAATATTATTGACTATATTTCCTATGCTGTACTTTACATCCCTGCAACTATTTTGTAACTACCAATCTGTATACTTCTCAATCTAATAACAGTAATCTTAAAATTAAACACCTTTAGACCTGGCCAGTGTGGCTCAGCATTTAGAGTGTCAGCCAGCACACTGAAGGGTGCAGGTTCACCCCTCACCCCCGGTCAGGCAAGTGCTGGAGGCATCATTCAGTCGATCTGTCTCTCTCACATGGATGTTTCTCTCTCTCTCTGTTTCTCCCCCCTTCCCTCCCTTCCACTCTCACTGAAAAGCAATAGGAAAAAATATCCTCAGGTGAGGATTGACAAAAAAACCACTCAAAACAAAACACCTTTAAAAAAAAGTAACAGCTCAGCTGGGCATGGCTCAGTGATGGAGCATCGACCTAGGATCCAGAAGATTGTGGCTCGATTCCTGGTCAGGGCACATGCCCAGGTTGCAGGCTCGATCCCCAGTCAGGGGGCATGCAGGGGGCAGCCGATCAATGACTCTCTCATCACTGATGTTTCTATCTCTGTCTCTCCCTCTCCCTTCCTCTCTTTGAATTCAATAAAGATATATTAAAAAACAAATAAAAACAAACAAACAAGCAAAAACTTAATTGTATATACCATTATACAAAACAAAGATTACTGTATTGGGGAACTAGGAGATCTAGAGTTTTTGACTGGCTTTATGAAACTCAGAGTATGATTTTGGGCAAGTCACTTAACCTTTCCCCTGTTGCTATGGCCTCAAAAAACATTGATTGGACATTAGAAGATTTTTAGCATTTTTTTTTTTCGTTTTAAGATCTAAGTCCTTTCACCTATTCAGATAGTTTAGAAAACCCTCATTTTCTTTTCTTTTTTAAAAAAGTTGTTTCATACTACTTTATTTATGGGGGAAGGGGTTCTATTTCCACTCCTAAATAGGTTTGAGGCGTCTCTCATCTGCTTCTTCACTCATAGTTCATCCAGTTCTGCAGGGTTACTCAGTGTCATCTTGGTCAGCCAACCATCTTCATGACAAGATTTGCTGGCAAGTCCTGGATCTTCTGCAAGAGCTTCATTAATTTCAGTTACTTCTGATAGAGGAGAAGAGAGTTTACTTGCAGCTTTCACACTTTCCAAAGCACCAAACTCATCTTGTTTGTTTAATTTTGTCCCAATTTCAGGCAGACTACCATAAACAAAGTCTCCCAAAGCTTCTTGTGCAAAACTGCTGATTTCCACTGTTCCGACACCATTTTGTGTTGTTATCCATCCATGTTTCTCTGTGAATTTACACACTAAGAGCATATTGGGGCCGATGCGCACCTGGACAGCACCGGTCCTCAGGCTCCAGGGCCTGGGCCACGGTCACTAGGCTGCAGGCCTGGACCTCAGGTTCTGTGCTGCTTGGGGCACCATGTTCAAAGGCAGAAACCCTCATTTTCTGATTATTCAGATCTTTTTAGGAATACTCAGTGTCACTTGAGAATTTGAATGTAAACATGAACAAGTCTTCATTTGCAAATTCTCTAGTTATGTCTTAAAAGGTTTAATAAAGACCAAGACAGTATGAAACAATGTTTGAAAAGATTTCTCAGTATATTTTACTTTTGCATGATGTATTTATATAACAGTGTATTAACTTGCACAATTCTTTGTCATTTAGATTGAAGGTAGAATTTGTTTATTGAGTTATTTATTTGTAACAAGTAACACTTAAATTACAAACAAAAAAATTACCTGCAATTTGATGAAACAAATGTCTCTAACAGATTGTTTGTAACACTTAACTTTGATTTTAAATTTTATATATTGTCCGTTGTCTTAGCTTCTGCCTAAAGGGAGAGGGACTGGATGGGAGCTTTCCTGCTGTAATAGACTATACACCATATTTGAAGTTTACCCAAAGGTATTTGACATTTAGAAATGTTATTGAAATCAAAATTTATTGTTGAGTGTCTTGTTGTATAGTATATTCATCTTGATTAAAATTACTTTTAATGAAACATTTATTTCATATCAGAAATCATTCATAAATATAATCTCTAGTTGCATTTTTAGTATTTATATAGGGTGTCCCAAAAATGCATACACACACTTTGAGTACTCACAAAGGCAGTGTTTATTAAAATACATTTCAGCCCAGCCGGGTGTGGCTCAGCGGTTGGGCGTCGACCTAGGATCCAGGCGATCGGGGTTCAGTTCCTGGTCGGGGCACATGCCCGGGTTGTGGGCTCGGTCAGTGGCTCTCTCATCATTGATGTTTCTATCTCTCTCTCTCTCCCGCTCCTTTCCTCTCTCTGAAGTCAATAAAGATATATTAAAAAAAACCCCAAAACATTTCATTTTCAACATTGAGTTATCAGCTGTTAAAGTGTGTATACATTTTTGGGGACACCCTGTATAAGTATACACTTTTAACATAAGTGTAATCTCAGCATAAACATAGTTTTTAAAAAGTAGCATGTATTTCTATTGCTGTAGTCATTATAATAATAAATTTAATAGCTCCATAATAGTCCATTGAGATTTTAAAACTATAATTCATTATTTAGCCTATTTTCTATTTTATCTCCATTATAACGAAAAGAATAATGAATATTTTTGTGTAAATCATTTTTTTAAATTTCAACTTTGAACTTACAGTTATTCAGGTAAATACAACACAATTTTATGGTTCTTAAAGTCTATTTTTATAAAAGAGTTGTGACAATTACCAGTCTTGTGTGAGAATTATGGATTTCCCACAATCTCATCAGCATTGAAAAATTAACCCAGTGAAATTCATAGATTTTCTGAAGGTCTGCCTTTACTTATTGATTTCCTGAATAGAATAATAATCTTTATATACTTCTAAAATGTTATGGTCAGGCCAGAGCTATAAGGGAGAGAGAAAGTGAAAGTAATACAATATATACACACACACAATCAAGTACCTAATGTAGGCAAGACACTTTCCTCAGTCCTAGAGATACATAGATGTTGAGAGTATAGAAACTTCATGAACTTCTGAAGAAGAATACATTTCCTGCCCCCGAGATAATCATCATCTTGTGAGAGAAGTCACTGTTATTTCAGAGCGAGACGTGTGCAGGTATTTTGGATGATGGAGGAGGAGGCATGGAGTATTGTGGTACCAAGCTTTCTGACTGAAATAAGTGGTTCTCTTAGGAAAAGGGATAATTCTGATACATTAGATCTAGAAAAGAAATACAACAAGAAGATGTTCTGCATAGGCATAATATTATACTGTGTTGGGATATGTTGAATTATACGACATTTGTGAAGATAATGAATAGTTTAAAATAAATACTAGTAAAAATGATAGTAATAATATTTACTGAGTGTTTATGATATATCAGGCGTTATTCTAAGTGTTTTTCTTTTATTAACTCATTAATCCCCAAAGCCAGTGAGTAGGCATTGCTATTCTTATTTTACAAATGAGGAAACTGAAACAGAGAGGTTAAGTAACGTGTCCACAGTCCCAGAGCTAGTGTGTGCATAGTGGGCCACAAGTCTGACATTAAAGAGCAAGGTTACAGCCAGAGATAGGGATTCGATGATCAACATGTAGATGGAAAGGGTATTTTTGTGACTTAAAGTATAAAGATAAACGTGAATACTAATCTTCCTCTCTTATGTAAGAAGCTATAGTAACTATTACAAAGTTTTTAAAAGATGCAATAATGGAACCTTCTCAGCTGGTGCCTTCAGAATGAATTTAATGATTTTACTCTGTGTCCTCAACTGCTTTACTACTTTTTTATGAATTTTTATGCAATTTCCCTTCTTTGATGCACAAATCCAAAAGTGTGTATATAGCTTTCTCTCCTTTATGTACTAAAGGATTCCTGCCAACTTGCTATATAACAGACGCTAAAATGAAAAGGGAAATACCAGTTTAACCTAGTCATGAACCAGTTAGCATGTGTGACCATAGAGTTTTTCTTTTTAGAAAGATTTAATCTATCCTAATTGACCCAATATTTTAAAAGTTGAATTGCTTCCACCTAGATATACCTGTATTAAAAAACTATGTTAGGTTCCTAATTTTAAGAAAATTTCAGACTTCCCCTCCTCAAATTACTGCATTTAATTGATTTGGAAAGTCATACATATTCATTATAGAAAAATTAAAAAATACATAAAGGTATTTTAAGATACTAAAGTCTTTATAATATCGTTAATTATAATTGTATATTTAGTGCTAACTATTTTAGAGTTTGTTCACCAGGAGCTTGAAAACACAGAATTATTTCTTAAATATCAAAGTGGAACACATTATTGACTCTTTTTAAAATTTTAATCTCCCAGCTCTGATAGCATCAGCAGTGATGAGGAGGAGCTGAGGACGCTGGGAAGCAGTGGCAGTGAAAGCAGCACCCCGGAGAACGTCGGGCCCCCTTTCATCATGGATGAGAATAGTTGGTTCAACAAGTGCAAGAGAGTTAAACAAAAGTACCAGCTCACCCTGGAGCAGAAGGTATTAATCAGTGGCAGGAGTCACTGAATTTGGTTCTAGTTACTGCCTTCGGACCGTCTCTGCCAAAAGACCTCTTAGCGGAATGAAAGTACTTGCCCCTCGCTACTTTCTTTCTGTTCTTGAATTGTCCTCCTGTTCATTAAAAATCAGGCAGTGTTTTAGGAAAGGTTTTTGTTTGTTAAACTTTTTCTAATTTTATGTTTTAATATAAAAATAAATCATTTATTCTTCTGTATGCAGTTAAATTTATATGTTTGAGATTTTAGTTCCTACGATTAATTTAATAAAATATTACTTGGCTTGTGGAAAAGCAGTCATTGCCTCAGCAGATTCCATATATGTCTCAATTTTTCTTTTTTAATCAGTTATTTTAGCAGCTCTTGTATGTTAAGCACTGCACTTGGCAAAGTAGAGTATATAGCAGAAAGGAAAATAAACTCCATTATCTTGAGGAGTTGTAACCTTTTTTTTCTACTGTATTATCTATTTTCTCCTCTACTTTTCCTTTCAAATTATCATTATTCATAGATAATCTTTATGGGAAAAGCCCTGGACGGTTTGCTGAGTGGCTAGAGCATCCGGCCTGTGGACTGATGTGTCCCGGGTTTTCTTCTGGCCAAGGGGACGTGCCTCAGTTGCAGGCTCAGTCCCGCCCCGGTCAGGATGCTTGCGGGAGGCAACTGATCGATGTGTCTCTCTGACATTGATGTGTCTGTCTGTCTGTGTCTTTCTCTCTCTGAAAAGCAATGGAAAAAATATCCTTAGGTGAGGATTAAAAAAAAAAAATCTGTGTAGGAAAAGCCTGATGGAATTAACAATAGAAGGTTTGAAACACTAAAAAATACACTGAGGAAAATACTTACAAAGTAAATTTTAAAATATGAATAGATTTTATATAGACAAGCGGCTACTGGTTAGAAAACATAAACAAAAATATCCCATTTATAATAGCTATAAAAATGTTGATAATGTATATGGAGAAAACTTAATGAAGAAGACTTCTCATACCAGCACAATTTCAGACTAAGATAATCTGAAAGCCTTTACATTGTAAAAATATGAAAATGCTGAGTAGAATACAGTTTTTAAAAGAGCTTCATGCAGAGCTGCTCTCTCAAAGAATAGGAGCTCACTAAGAACCAGGAACATAGAAAGACTGAGAATAAGAGGAGTGAGTCATGAGTTGAGCCACTGCCGTCCCCAGAGGTAATGAGGGGCCATTCCCTTAACTTAGGCACCTGTGTTTTAGTATCAACAGGGTAGTAGCAGACCCAGCTAGGCCCACTATCATTCAGGATAGACCCTGAACCCAGAAGGCAGGAGTGAGATGCAAAATGACAGATTAAGCACAGAAATTGGTAAATAAACCTTGACTACGTGAAACAAAAACTATATTAATCGCCAATATGAGATGGCATTGTGCTAAAATATGTTTAACAACTGGCTTCTGCAGAGGAAATAGAGAAACCCTGATCTGTAGCATTTGCTGATTCTTTGGGGTAAATACTCCCATCATGGCCAAGTTAAAGCTACCAATGTGATATCCCTGAACGCAGAATAGGGAAGAGATGCATAGGGAATGGGTAGCACACCATTAAATAGTATTTCTATCAGACAGATACAATAGATGGAAACAACTTTAAGAGCACCAATAAATGTAAAATACTTAGAATGTGATGAGATTTGAGTGGTCATTTCCTTATTTTTAATATAATTTACCTTACTATGTCTATATAACTTGATTTTTAATAATAGCAGTGTTTAACAACTGCATACAAAATTTCTGAAATTTAACAGTCAGCTCTCAAGGGCTGTACAAGCTGACTGCAGCCCACCACTGGGACTAAAACTAACAATATTAGAAGACGTTAAGAGAAGATGATTGAAGCGAAAGCCATTTGAGGCCTTTGTTTTATAGTGAAAAGGGTAGACACATATTTTAATGTGCATGCCTGTTCCCAAAGTTACAGTTAAAAGTAGAATATTTAATTTTCAAACTGACAGTGAGAAGATAAATAAGGAAAATTTGATTGTTACAATACAAAGTAACAAGTGAGAAAAAATAAGGATGATGTAAAGGATGGTGCCAGCAGCTAAAGTGGTAGAAAGAAAGTTCAATGTAACCATTCAAGTCAGTGTCACCATAAAAGTAAATGGGATAAACTTGCTAGTTAAGACAAACTTATTTTAAATCTTAAATTTTAGTTAAGTGTTATCTGTAAGAGGCATACATAAAATAAGACAAACATTTTAAACTAAGAGGATAAAGATGTAGTAGGCAAACATTAACCAAAGGGATTCTGTATTAATGTGATTCAACATAGATATTAAGTCAAAAAGCATTATTAAGACTAAATAAAGACATTATCTTTGTAAAAAAGAAACAACTCACCAGGAATGTATAACAGTGCTGAACTTACATGCATTTAACAATGTAGCCATGAAAAATGTAAAGCATAATAGACTGTCCAGGAGAAATTTCTAAATCCATAATTATAGTAGGAAATTTTAACATCTTTCAAATAATTTACAAATTCAACAAACAAAACATTGGTGAGGACATAGTGACCTTGAACGGCACAGTTAGTAAGCTTGATCTAAAATTTGTTAAATGCTAACAGAAGACACATTCTTTTCAAGCACATAGAGGACAGCTGTCCAATTTTTAAGGAGCATACTATGTCACAAAACAAATTCCCACAAATACCAAAGAGATGATACAATAGTGATCACAGTGCAATAAAGCTAGCTTCAATACAAAATATTTACTGCCACCTGTGGAGCACTAATGGGAATTTATAAAATTAAACTTCTAAATTATGTGTCAAAATAAATGAGTAAATAAGAATGAAAACAGTGCATACTGACAATTTTATTTATTTATTATTTTTTAAATATATCTTTATTGATTTCAGAGAGAGGAAAGGAGAGGGAGAGAGAGAGACAGGAACATCAATGATGAGAGAGTCACTGATCAAGCCGGCAACCAGGCATGTGCCCTGACCGGGAATCGAACCCTGATCGCCTGGATCCTAGGTCGACGCTCAACCGCTGAGCCACGCCCAGCCGGGCCATACTGGCAATTTTAAATTGCAACTTGTGCAGTACTTGTAAAAGTACTTAACTTAGAAAAGAAAATAGGAAAATTAAAGAGATAAGTATATAAGAAGTAGACAAAAAATCAAAACAAAACAAAAAAAATCAGTTTCAAAGAAGGAAAAAATAAAAACATTTTAATAAAATAAACAGAAAAACAATTAATAAAACCAAAAGCTGATTATTTGTAAAAACTAATGAAATAGAAAAATCTTCTCAAAAATAATTATAGTCATAAAAGCTTTCAGGCACAGATAGACAACTTTAAGAATTAAAAGAGAGTAGATAGCATAACTATAAATGTAGCAGAATAACCCCAATAATTAATTATAGGAGAATAATTTTAGCAATTTTATGTCAATACTTTAGAAAACTTAGATGAAGAATTTTTATAAAATACTACCTCTCAAAACTGATAGATGTATAAGCATTAAAGAAATTTTATAAATAGTTTAAAATCTACCCTTTCCTCCCCCCAAAATCACCAGACTTGTTTGGTTTGGGAGGAAGACTCCACCAAATGTTCAGAAGGCAGTACAGTAGTTCTTTATTATCCACAGGGGATACATGCCAAGACCCCCAGTGAATGCCTGAGATGGTGGATAGTACCAAACCCTATATATACTATGTTTTTTTCTATACATACCTAGGAGGAGATTTAATTTATAAATTAGGCACAGTAAGAGATTAACAATAATAACAAATAATGAAGTAGAACAATTAAAACAATATCCTCTAGTAAAAGTTAAGTAAATGTGGCATTATTAAGTAAAGTAAGAGTTACGTGAACCCAAGCACTGCCAGACTGCAGCAGTCAGTCTGATAACCAAATTGGCTGCTAAGTGACTGACGGGAGGGTAGTGTCTACAGTGTGGGTACACTGGACAAAAGGAGTGGTTCACATTTCAGGAGGGACAGAGCGGGTTGTCGAGAGATTTCAGCACCTGCTCAGAATGGCATGCAATTTAAAATTTATGAATTGTTTGTTTCTGGAATTTTTCATTTAATATTTTCGGACCACAGTTGACAGCAGGTAATTGGAAGTATGGAAAACCATGGATAAGCGGGGGACTACTGTAATCCCTATTTTATACTGACTGTTCATGAGAGTAAGGAAAAGGACTGTTTTTCAATGACTTTTATGAATTCTGTATAATTTTAATACCAATATAAGGCCATGTGAATTAATATCAGGTGGGAGTGTGATTAGTATAAAACAATAACAGGAACAATTTGGCATTATCTAGTAAATGTAAAGCTATGCATGGCCTGTTTCCCAGCAATTCCATTTCCAGTCATAGTTCCTAGAAATTCTTAGATGTGTGTATCAGTAACATATACTGAGTGTTCATAGTAATATTGTTTATATTAAGAAAAAGCTAGAAATAACCCAAATGGCCATTGACAGGGGAGTAAATAAACTGCAGTATTCATACAATGGAATACCAGTCAGTGTTGAATGTAAGACTCCTCATTGTAGATGCAAAGGCAAGTTTCAAAAGAACATGGACAGACCCCAGCAGAACTAAACAGTATATTGTTTAAGACAACATTTGTGGTAAAGCTGGAAAGAAGAGCAAATCTCAGGATACTGTTACCTTGGCAGAGAAGGCAGGAGGGTATGATCAGGGAAAGGCATTATAGGGGTTTAACTTCATCTAGGTGGTGGGTACATAAGTAGTATTTACTTACTAATGTTTATAAACATTTGTATATAATTTATGTACAGTTTGTATATAATTTGTAGATAATTTATATGTTATGTGTATACATAAGATACTTCGTAAAAATTTTATTTTTAATTTTTGAGATTTTATTATGGAAAAAAAAATCTGAAAATTGTCAGGAAAAAAATCTGAAAAAGACGCTTAATGAGGGTTGAGTAGTGCTAACTTCTATTGATCAAGCTAAAATAGTTAAAACAGCTTGTTAATAACAAATGAATAGGATAGCATAATGGAACAGAAGAATACTTTAAGAATAAAAGACTCTAATTCATATACCCGGAGGATTTGTAAGCACATTGCAGCTAAAAAGTGAGATGCCATGAGAAGGGAGCCAGGAGCCAACATGATAGAATGAGCTATTGGAAATTAAAATTAAGATTTCCTGAGTTCAAAAATTCAGTATAAGGGTTTGGAAGATAATGTAGTGAAGTCTCTCAGAAAGCAGAGCAAAACGACAAAGAAACTGAGTAAAAGATAATAGAGGATCAGCCCAAGAAGTCTCCTACGTATTAGGTGTTTCCTAATAATAGGAGCTAGGAATTACACGTTGTGTACTGTGTGCCAGGTAGCACTCTGCCTATGCTGATTAGTTTAATCTTCCCAACCAGGCACACTTACTGTTCTCACTTTTTCAAAAGATGAAACTACGGCACAGAGAGATTGAGATTGCCCAAGGATACGGAGCTGATAACTAGTAGAACTGGGCTCTCCAGACACTGGGCAGTCCCTGAACCGCAGGCCTAACCAAAACATCTTACTGCTTCCCTCCAGTTTGTTAAAGCTAAAATGTTAATACCTGTTTTTGAAAAAATAATCACATGGAGGCATTTATTTAATTGGTCATTCTGTGATTAGGTCTATATTTTGAAACTAGGAGGCATGTAGAGTATTTTATCACTGTTGTAGAACTTAGAAATTACAAAGTTTTAACTAAGTTTTACCTTAAATTACAAACATATTTTAATGAACCTTAAAGAAGAGCTTTAACTACTGAACATGTTAAATTTTTGCATTAAATTAAAACAATTTTTTTACTGTTTAATCAGTGATACTTTAAAATACTTTTATTACAATATAGATATGAATAACATGTAAGCTACTGAGCATTTATCTCAAAATATGTTAGAATTTTGCAGTTGGCAATAACTTGCTGATCTGTATTTCCAGGGTTATCTTGAAGAACTCTTACGACTTCGAGAGAGCCAGCTGTCCGAATCTGTCTCCCAGAATAAACTACTACTGCAAAGGATTGAAGATTCTGATCTGGCCCATAAATTGGAAAAGGAACAATTAGAATATATAATTGTGGAGCTTCAAGATCAGCTGTAAGTGAGATCTTTTTTGGAAAAATTTTGGCATTATGTGAATATAACAAAGTTTCATGTTTTAATATAAGATTCAAATTCCAAGAAGTCTGATTGCCTGCTATTAAATTCTTTTTCACTTCTCTTTTCCAAAAGTTTACTTCTGTTTTTCTTATTATAAAAGTGATCCATGCTCATTGTAGAAACATTACAAAATATAGGAAGAAAATAAAAATGACTTTCATTTCTGCTACTCAGACTTAACTGATATAATTTGGTGTATATTCTTTCAAATGCACATGTATAATTTTAAAAGTATTTATTTAGTTAATGATTGATCGATTAGTTGAGTGAGTGTAGAAATACGGTGTATAAGACCAGTGCTGCTAAAAGTGCAGGGCCAGTGCATAAACGGTCTGTCACCAAGTTGTGCCAGAATATTACTGAGCACAGTTCGTATAGCTAAACCTTTTCTCTAGCAAGACTTCTTTCAATGAAGGAAGCTGTGTATTGGTCTACATTCCTACTTTCTGTTACAAGCTCCTTAACTTGTCACTGTTCAAAAGCACTTGTACGAATCATACCATTTTGTCAAATTTGATTTTGTCAATTGCTTATAGTGAAAAGTCTCAATATTTAATACTTACTTAATCTTAAAGGTTGATTTTAAAATTTTTTCTTGAAATAATTTCAAACTTTCAGAAAAGTTGCAAGGATAGTACAAAATAATTTCCATATGCCTTTTCCTATTCACCCATTTTCGGCATTTGGCCCCACAGTTGTCATAATTCTCTCTCTCCCTGTATATACAGACGTATTATTTTTTAAACCACCTGAGAGGGTGCACGCATCAGAGGGTGCACGTNGTTGTCATAATTCTCTCTCTCCCTGTATATACAGACGTATTATTTTTTAAACCACCTGAGAGGGTGCACGCATCAGAGGGTGCCTCTTTACTCCTTAATACTTCAGTGTGTCTTTCCTAGTAACAAAGATATTCTCTTATATAACCATAGTTCAGCTTCAATGTAAGAAATTTAAATTGATACAGTGCTTTCCTCTTTATCTATAACTCATATTTCATTTGCATCAGTTGTCCAGATAATATCCCTTATTGCAATTTTTGTTTTTCTGCTAAAGATACAATCCAGGATCATGTTTTGAATTTGGTTGTCAGTCTCTTCAGTCACTTTTAACTTAGAACAGTTTTTCAGTGTTTGTCTCACATGAGATTGCTATTTCTGAAGAACACAGGCTATAGTTTTACAAAAAGTCCCTCGATTTTAGTTTGTTTGTATTTCCCTGTGATTAGAATGAGTTTATCTGTTTGTGGCTGGTGTACAATATAAGTGGTGTGTCCTCAGGAGATCACATCAAGAGTTCCGTGAAGTCTGTTGTTGGCCTTTTAGCAGTGATACTAATTTTAATCATTAGGGTAAAATGTTTTTCTCTTCTATATTGTCACTACTGTTCCTTTTGTAAGTAACATGCAATTTGCAAGGAGACTAAATATAAAAGATGATTTTTTAAGTAAAAAAGTTTTATTAAGGAACATAAAAATTTAACGTTTTCTGGGAATTTGTATCTTGATGAAAATAATTATGTTCATATATTGTTTCTTATATTTTTCTAATTTTTGAAAGTTTCTTACATTTTTTCTAATATTTGAGAGTTTGTCATATGGAGTATCACTTGTTTAGGGACAGATTAACACCTTCTGTAGCCCCTTGCTTCCATAAGCCGGGAGAAAAATTTCAAGAGCCAAACAGTAGAGATTTCTGGTTATTTCTTTGCAATTAAAAGATCAAGAAGATGATTTAATTTTTCTTTTGCAAATAATCTTGGTAGTTTGCCTAAACTGTTTTAACTTAAAAATAATTATGAAATCAGTTTTTACTTAATCAACAAGATATTTTCTCCCCCCCTTTTTTATTGAATTTATTGGGGTGACACTGGTTAACAAAATCGCCCAGGTTTCAGCTTCCCAATTCCACAGCGCGTCGTGGGTACACTGTACTGTGTGTTCAGCACCCTGAGTCAGGTCTCCTTCCATCACCGTTCATCCCCGCACACCTTCCTCCGCAATCACCACGTTGTCCACAACCATGCTCTTCCTTCTACAGTTATTGGCCGGAATCATCTACAAAGAAGGAAGGGGCTTTTCCTCATCAGTTAGGGCTGTTTGGTGATTAGCATTATAGTTCTTACAGGATATTACTCATTTTCAGAATAAGATGCCCATGCCTATCTCTTAGTTACCAAAGAGATGAAGATTTCATTTTGCTTTTATTTTTGAGAATGTTATGAACTTTTTATATATAATATCTTCCGTAATGTAAATTAGCTCAGACGAGATGCATAAATAAGGTGATGATGTCAGCATAACAAAGAAGTCACTTTGATTCATAGTTTATTTTTCCTGGAGGTTAATGTTTCTTAAAAAGTGGCAACAGCCAATGCAAAATACACTAATTCAGGCAATTACTACAAGCAACCAAAAGATGGCGCTCTCTCCTTGTACATAATATTCTTTCACCTTGCGTTCCTCTGGCTCGGTTGAACTGCGACTTGGAGATGTGTGTGCAGTTGGTCCTTGCCTGTGTGGCAAGCCCCAACCTCAGCAGCCTCAACCCTCAAATGGCTTTTCCTTTGTTGTTGTAAAGTTATTGTAATATCTCTTAATAGGAATTTAATAAATATTTTTATTTGGGTTGAAATTTTATTAGAATTATTATTGTTCTTATTAGTGTTCTAGTAAAAAGTCAAATAGGTTTTGAGTTGTTAGCTCCCAACCTTATTCTTTCCATAAGGCCAGTTATTTTTAATGTGTTATTGCAGAACTGTGTAGTGTTTTGTTTCTGTTTTACAGAAGAAATGCCTGTATTCAGTATTTTCTGTCACTTACATTTATTTTTCTTTTTGATGCTGATATTCTCCTATATTTGTCTAATTAATTATATTCTTGTGTTCTTCTGACATGACCCATTTGTCTTTTAAGTTCTACATTCTCATTAATGTTTCTTTTCAAAAGATACTGTCAAGTTAAGTTCTAAAGTACAACCAGAGTTGCAAACCACTGCTGTTCTAAGATACTGGATTAGATTTGGGTTTAACATTGGAGGCAAGACTATTTCATAGGTAAATAATTTATAAATTTTGGCCACCTGGCTCCTTTTTAGGCTTCTTCTTTCTAAATGTTTTATTTGAAGGGAAATAAGTATAAAGTAACATGAAGTTAATCTTTATCCCATGGCTTTTTCTAAAATTAACAGAAACAAAAGCATAGAAATAAAGAACAATTTTATTATAACATTATGGAGAAGTTAGGGTATTCAGAAGCTATATAAGCATTTTTCAATTCTGGAAAACTTTAAATGAATAAAGAAGAGTAAATTTCCATCACTTCTCTTGGTACTCAATTGCTTTTGTAACTTCTCTGACATTTACTCACTCACTTGGAAAATATTTATTGAGAATGTATGAAGAGCCAAGCCCTGTCCCAAGTGCTGGTGACTCAGGAGTAAATAAAACGTAGTCCCTGCCCTTACAGAGCTTATGCAGGCCGGAGGGCCAAGGCCGACATTAAACAAGTAGCATCTGAGTGATCGTCCCTCTCTTCCCAAGTAGTAAGACACGGTGGAGGTAGGTAACTAGCTCTATTATTCTGTGTTTCTTAGAGAGTTAGGGGGTGCAGTGTATGTAGCACTGTGCTTGGTGGTTTTCCCTTTCTTTGACTTCAGTACTCTCCCTAGGCATTCTGTCCATTAGCATAAACATCTGCATTAGTATAGTCATGATATTTTAAATACTTTATTTTCATGAAGATTATAGCCTAAGATCTTCTCAATTTTCTGTATGAGTAGCGTTGGAATACATCCTAAGAATGACAGCACATGAGACAGTGAGTGGTGAGTGGAAAATAACCAAGGTTTGCTGCAGTGGTGTTAGGCATTTTGGGAGGCCCCCTCTCAAAACTTACCTCAGAGCCGTGGTCTTCAAATGCCTTATCAAAATTTAAAATTGCTTCATATTATGGACCTTTGGGGTTGCTTAGGACTATTTGGGATCACAGATAGTAAATTCTAAGTGCCAAAGGTTGTATGTCTCATAAACATATATCCAGCAGACAAGTTCATCGTGAGCATCAGCACAGCCTCTGAGGTAAAGGAGAGAGGATAAATCCTCAAGTTTGCAGACACAAGATAATTAAATGAAACAAAATAATATCTTTGAATTGGCTAAGCACTGCTATCAAAATATAGAGTACAGAATTCTAGGTCTTCTTGAAGAGCTTATAAGTGACAGTAGACTTGAGCCTTATCTCTGAAAGGAAGGAAAGAGACCAAACCCTGGAAATCTCACCTTTTCTCTCTCCTTTAAAACAATGAATGTAAAATTTAGGGCTCGAAAGGATTTACGATCTCAGTTGTGAAGCCAGGGTTCTGTGTATTTACAAGACCCTGTTTTTGGATTTTGAGAATAGAAATGGAGGGAATCATTGGGACCACCAGCATTTAAGGACAAAACGGATAAGGAACCTCTACTGAAAGAGACCAAAATTTTCTCAGTGTTCTGTGCCATAGGTAGCATTGGAATACACATCCTATTGTTATTCTACGTCCTATGATTTCACAGGAGAAAAAAATTAGATCACTTAGAGAGTATTAAAAAATACCATTTTGTTCATCAGTTTATTTTGTTCATTATATTTTACATATAAGTGAGATCACCGAAAATAGATCCAGAGACATAGAAACATAGAACAGACTGACAAATCTCAGACTGGCAGGGGAGAGATTAACCAAAGAATTTATATGCATATATGCATAACCCATGGACACAGACAATAGTGCGGTAGGCCTGGGTGGGGGGCCCTTTGTGGAGGGGGTCAGTGGTGGGGGAAAGGGGGACATCTGTAATACTTTCAAAAATAAAGATAAATTTTTGAAAATAGCATTGTCTGGGCCCCACCATTATAGAATCTCATTTCATTGACCTGAGATGACACGGGTATCAGAATT